AACACCGCGACACCTTCGCCTCCCCTCGACCTTGTCGACTCCATCCTCAGTCGTAGCCCTCGTCGCCATCATCACGTCACCTCCCATCTCCTCTTCCACCCTCTCTCCAACCTCGTTGGAAACCTCCAACACGCCGCCACCTCTACCTCCCCTTAACCTCGTCGACTCCATCCTCAGTTGTAGCCCCCGCCGCCACCATCGTGCCGCCTCCAATCTCCTCTTCCACCAAAAGAATTTGTAGTTAAGAATCCTTCATTACTTAAGAACATGACCCTTCCGTATTTAAAGTAAATCGTCAATCCTTCTGACGAGTTGTATATTTTGATTTAAAATCTCAAAACATTTTGAAAATCTCTTGATTCATGGTGTTATATCAATTTTCAAGGACATAACCATGACATTTCTGAGCTTTGTCATGAAATCAGAGTCAGTGATGTCTTTGGAGGTCAGGTTTTTGGTTGAGCTCCTACAATGACAACGATAACAAAGAGTCAGTGATCTGCTTTTGTTCTGTAGCAGATTTAGCAACTCCCACTTCACAGCAAAATTTTTCAGAGTGAGGATCCTTAAAGCTGCTGCATATGCTACTCCTCTAATCTCACACTATCTTTAGTTGTTACTGATAGGGAAGAAGCAATTCATGTGTATAGTTTATGACTTGAGGCTGTATGAAACATGTGTTCAATTAATGAAAATTTTGAGGTTCTGATATTTTCCTACATATTGTCCAAGTTATTATCTATCATATTGGTTGTAGTCCTTGTGTGATCTTTACCTACTTAGAAGTTTAATTTCAACATGGTGTTATGGACCCGATCTGAAATTATCTGATATGAATGGATATGAATAGATAAGGGTCATGATCATAGATGAAGATCAAATATTGGCTGGGTCTTGGATGTATATCAAAATCAAGAAAGAAGCAATAAACTCAGGGTGTGATATATAAAAATGTTGTATAAATTTATTGGCGCATTACTATATTAACTGTGTTTCTTTAAAGTAAAATGTTAACTTTTGCAGTTCGCTTGTTAAGTTACACTGATAACATGTTAACTTTTGCAGTTCTCTTGTTAAGTTACACTGATAACATGTTAACTTTTACAGTTCTCTTGTTAAGTTATGCTAATAACATGTTAACTTTTACAGTTTGCTTGTTAAGTTACACTGATAATATGTTAACTTTAGATGGTAACTTGATAATTATATTCAGTAAACTGTTAACTATAATCCATTATATGTTAACTATTATTTGTAATCTGTTAACTATTGATCATTATCTATAAACTGTTATTTATAAACTGTTAATTATAATGAATTATCTATTAACCGTTATTTATAATCCATTATTGGTTAACTGTTATTTCGGATGATATACATGTTAATATAGTTCTCATTTAACATGTTAACTATAATACGTAGCTGTTGGACCCTAGAGGGGGGGGGGGTGATTAGGGTCAAAAGGCTCTAATATGCAATTAAAAAACAGAACAAGCAAACCACAAAACAGTAACGCGATAAAAGAAAGAGAGATAGAGTTAGGAGTTCGTTATCCTTGACGCGCGATGTGTTAACGAGGTTCGGCCCTCTACTCTTTGCCTACATTCTAGCACTAGAGAGAAAAACAAAAGAAAGCTAATATCCTCATATAGAGAGCAATATACTTGAGCTTTGATATAGCT